GGTTTGGGTTCCTGCTAAAGGGTGCAGGTGCTTCTAGTTTAGTTGCACCAGTATTGAGCCTTGAACCCTGCTAAGTGCAGGCTCCTGGCCTACTTAGAGTACTGGTAGCCTGCATAGAGTGGCCACTGACACATCCCCAGAATACAGCACATCTCCTTGGTGAGCGGGGTTGGGGCCACTGGGCCCCTTGGCCAATTATCAGTGAGGGGCAGGGCCACTACAAAAAGGTCACCTCCCTCTCTGGCTGGCTTGGAACCCTGCTTCTCCTTCATGTGAATTGTTCATAGATTGTAGTCGGAAGGGACCCCGAAGGATCATCATGTCTGACCCCCTGCCCCAGACAGGAAAAGGACCGAGGTCAGATGACCCCAGCCAGGTGCCTATCTAGCCTCCTCTTAAAGACCTCCAAGTTAGGTGATAGTACCACTTCTTTTGGCAGCCCATTCCAGATTCTGGTCACCCTTACTGTGAAAAATTTCTTTCTAATGTCTAACCTGAATCTACTCTCCATTAATTTGTACCCATTATTCCTAGTTACTCTTGCTAAATAGCGCATCTCCAACTCTCTGTTGTGCTCCTTTGATAAACTTGTAGGCTGCTCAGACGTCTTGTGTGAAGGCTGAAGAGATCCAGATCCCCCAATCTCCCCTTGTAGGGTCTTGCATTGAGGCCACTAATCATACAAGTGGCCCTCCTCAGGACCCTCTCCAGATTCTCCGCATCCCTCTTGAAGTGCAGCGCCCAGAACTAGACACAGTACTCCAACTGTGGCCTGACCAGTGCCGCATAGAGGAGGAGCATCACCTCCCATGATTTGTTGGTCATGCATCTGCTAATGCATGATAAGGTATGGTTTGCTTTGTTGATGGCTTCGTTACACTGCCTGCTCAAGTTCATCTTGGAGTCAACTATGACTCCAATATCCCCCTCAGCTGCTGAGCTTCTAAGGAGGTCGTCCCCCAACCTATAGGTGTGCTGGGGATTCCTCCTCCCTAGATGGAGTACCTTGCACTTGTCTTTGTTGAACTGCATCCTGTTTCATTCTGCCCATTGATCCAACCTGTCCAGATCAGCCTGGATCTGCTCTCTACCCGCCGGTGTGTTAACTTTTCCGCATAATTTGTTGTCATCTGCGAACTTGGACAGGGTGCTCTCCACACCCTCATCCAAATCACCGATGAAGATATTAAATAACATTGGTTCAAGGACCAAACCCTGTGGGACACCACTGCCCACCTCCTTCCATGTCAAAAATGACCCATCCACCACCACTCTCTGGGTGTGGTGCCTAAGCCAGTTGGCCACCCACCTGACTGTGTAAGCATCCACTCCACAGCCTGCTAGCTTCCTTATGAGAATAGGAAGTGAAACTGTATCAAAGGAATGAGATACATCTGGACAAGAACCTGATGGTGTTCAACACCGAAAAATGCAAGGTTCTCCACCTTGGGAGGAAAAACCTGCAGCATGCTTATAGGCTTGGTAGTGCTACGCTGGTTAGCACTACAGATAAAAGGGACTTGGGGGTAATGGTTGACCACAAGATGAACATGAGCCTTCAGTGTGATGCTGTGGCTAGTAAAGCGAGCAAAACACTGGCTTGCATCCATAGATGCTTCTCAAGCAAATCCCGGGACGTCATTCTCCCAATGTACTCGGCCTTGGTAAGGCCGCAGCTGGAGTACTGCGTCCAGTTTTGGGCTCCACAATTCAAGAAGGATGTGGAGAATCTTGAGAGGGTGCAGAAGAGAGCCACACGCATGATCAGAGTTCAGAAAAACAGACCTTATGAGGAGAGGTTGAGAGCCATGGGGCTCTTCAGCCTGGAAAAGTGCAGGCTCAGGAGTGATCTGGTGGTCACCTATAAGCTTATCAGGGGTGCTCATCAGGATCTGGGGGAACATCTGTTCACCAGAGCGCCTCAAGGGATGACAAGATCAAATGGTCACAAACTCTGCCGCGACCGATTCAGGCTGGAGATAAGAAAGAACTTCTTCACTGTCTGAGCCCCCAAGGTTTGGAATAGACTGCCACCGGAGGCAGTTCAAGCACCCACTTTGAACGCCTTCAAGACACATTTGGATGCTTATCTTGCTGGGATCTTATGATCCCTGCTGACTTCCTGCCCCTCGGGTAGGGGGCTGGACTCGACGATCCTCCGGGGTCCCTTCCAGTCCAAATGTCTATGAAATCTATGAACTTCTTAAAGTCCAGGTAGATGACATCTACCTCAGTTTCAGTATCAAGGCAATGTGTTACCTGGTCGTAAAAGGCTATAAGTTTTGTCAGGCAGGATCTACCTGTGACGAACCCGTGTTGGTTTCCTTTCAGCACCATTTCCCCTGCTGGGCTTTACAAATGCACTCTTTAATGATTTTTTTCCAGTGTTTTCCCAAGGATACAGGTAAGACTGACTGGCCTAAAGTTACCTGGCTCATCCCTTCTTCCCTTCTTAAAAAGGGGCACCATGTCTAGGTTCTACCTCTTAAACCAGGCAATAAAATCAAGAGGGCAAATGATTGACATGTATTTCCACCAATGAACTAAAAAACAGGACTCTGCAGTCCAGTCCTCACTTAGAAATGAACAGGGGGCAAAGGGTTTAAAACCAGGACAGTCCAGTATAAAACAGGACCAATGGCCACCCTAAGCCAAAGAGAGGGCTGGGAGTAGGATTAGGAGATCCATGAAACCAAAGCACAGAGAGGGGCTGGGAGGGAAATCAGAGGATCTAGGATGACAGAGTAGGGCCAAGAAAAAGAGAAAGTGGACAAAGGAGTTCCAAACAGCCAAAGACTGCCAGAGCAAAAGAGCTGAGAGATCAACTGGCCTAAAACTGAGGCCAATGCCCAGGAGAGCCCAGAGGTCTGGGAGGGACCAGAGCCATAAATATCAATGAGAGAACACCTGTGAGGCATGGGGCATGGTGTAGGGAAGGATGGAGCCACACAATGAGCCCTTAAGGCTACAGGTACCTCTGCAGAGGCATGTACAGGCTGCGAGGGCCTATTGAGCTTGAACAGAGACTAGAGGGGTCTAGGCAGGACATGGTTATGATTGCACAGACATAGGTTCACTCTAAGGCCCATGGGCAGCTGCCTTTATCTAATTGTTAATAAGAACAAGGCATGGTGGGAGGCTTATCTTAGAGACTGAGCTGGGGAGGGGCCAGACTAACCCTTTAGTGGGCCCTAGATAGACAAACTCATGGGTGCCAGGCTGATTGTGCCTCCTCCTCTCAGTGCTGCCACTTGTTGGGAGTGGAGCTCAGAGCTGCCACTAGGAAGCAGCTGTGGCGGTGCCATTGAAGGGAATGGACTGGAAGGGAGGCAGATGGGGCCATCCATGACGCCAACATGGAGGGAAAGACCAGGGCCCCCTGAAGCTCAGGACCCTAGGCATGTGCGTAGTTTGCCTATGCTTTAATCTGGCCCTGGTCATCATAGGGTGTCATGGCCGCCCCTGTGGCTCGTACCTGCTACACTTTGCATCTCTGTTTTATTTTTATACTTGCAGAAATATATAAAACTAGCTTTAGATTATTTGCCTTGCAACTTTAACAGCCTAATCAACAACTAGAAGTATGATTAAAAATATTCTTTAAAACAAGGGAGACAGTCACACTTCTTACATGATTGTCAATAAAGTCAAGCGAAAAGCACAGAAGCACATTCTTCTTTCTGTATTTCTGTAAACATTTACACATACAATTATTTAATTGATTTATTAGATGTACATGCCACCCTTTCCAACAAGGGCTCAGGGTTGCTTACACTAACTGACTGTGACCGCCAGGCTTTGACTAGCTGCTCTCGGGCGGCTTTTGATCTAATGGCGGATGTCACGGCCCTTCCAGGCTTGTTTTGTCGCTGGAGTAGTTCTCTCCTCCCTGTGTTGCCAACCCCAATCTCGTCTGCCACGACTTGATGTTCCTCAGTAGGTGGGGTTGGTTAACAGGACCCTTGGTGGTCTGGGTTTTGCCCGGTGGTCGCTCACGGGGCTCCACCCCCCCTACACACCAGCCTCACGCCACCTTCGATGTGCCGCCCAGCCATTATCTGCGGCCTCTCCCGTGGGGTTACCCTCTCCTCGTCGTATCTAGGAGCCAGCGGCTAAAGGCCCTGCTTGCCCGCGTGGGCCTGCCCCTACAGCTCTTCACACTCCCATCCCTTCTTTCAAGGGTATCTACCCCACTAGGGGCATCCTGCTGAGGCTTGTCTGCAGCCCTGCCCCAGGGACACTTATCCCTGTTGCCCAGGGTAACAAAACAAAATGACTAAACAAAACTGACCAGTAACCTATTCCTGCCCCCCTTTTATTCCCTTCCCCGGAGCCTAATGGGAAGGGATTGTTCTCCTCTTAGCTTGTTGCTTCCTGGACTAACTCCTGTCCGTTCCTCAACACAATGGACCCCGGCGGTGATACCCACCCCGATCACAAACCCTTTCAGGGCTCTCCCAGGGTCTTCGCCCCCTGTCGTGTCATCCTCTGCACCCCGTTGTCCTGGCACTCCCACCTGGGTCTCATCATGCTTCCAGGTCCCGCTTCAGTTCTCCTTTTGATTGGCCAGCCCGTTGCTCCTTTGTTGTCTGGCGGCGGCTTTTGTCAGGGTGCTCCACTCTCCCCCAGCCTGTGTCAACTCCTGCTTGTCAGGCTCCTCGGGACCAGCGCGTGGAGTCTTCCTAGCTGCCGGTGTCAGCCGCAGCTCCATTCCCCGGCTATCTGCCCCTTCCGCCACTGTGGCCGCCATTTTTATTTCTGCCGGCCGGTGTCTGACACTGACATCACCGGCCGGCTGTAATTGCACAAAAATGCGGCTAACAAGCTGCGCGGGTTCCTCCTTCCGTCCCACATGCGTCTTGTCCTGAGCTGCTGGTAAGTGCTGTGCGTTACTTTGCCTCCCGAGATATAACCCCCCTCCGCCAGTTGCCTTGTGGCGGTTCCATGAGTCGTGTGTCTCCATTACCTGCAATTCACTGTGGGGGTCGACGACCTTGCTGATCAATGTCTCCGTCTGCGCCCTCATTACACTGAGATAAGAAGTCTGTTGTTACGTTGTCTTTCCCGGGGTGGTATACGATACGAAACTTAAAGGGTTGTAGCACCAATGCCCACCGCATTATGCGTATGTTATTGGTTTTGGCCGAACTGAACCATTTCAGGGGTGCGTGGTCCGTGACAAGTGTAAATTCCCTTCCAAGAAAGTAATAACGGAAGTGCTCCACCACCCACCGGATTGCTAGGCACTCTCGTTTGATTGTTGCATACCTGGTTTCAGCTGGTAGCAACTTCTGACTTGCATATGCCACAGGCCGGTCCATGTCAACGTCTCGTTGGGTCAACACGGCCCCGATCGCAACCGCAGAGGCGTCCGTCTGCAACGTAAAAGGTTTATCAAAATTAGGGATGTGTATAAGCACGTCTTCACACAGGGCTTTTTTAAAGGCCTGAAAACTGCGTAACGTTGCCCCGGTCCACTTGACCCCTTTCTGATGTGACTCCTTTTAGGGCCTCTGAGAGGGGTGACACGAGCTCCGAGAACTGGGAAACAAATCTGCGATAGTAATTCACCAGGCCCAAGAAGGACCGCAGCTGTTTCAGTGTTTGCGGGGCCTGAAAGGAGCGGATGGTTTGGACCTTGTCTTTCAATGGTCTGATGGCCCCGTGGCCCACTAGGAATCCTAGGTATTTCGTGTGCTTGTGTGTGATTGCACACTTACGGGGGGTTGCAGTCAGACCTGCCTTCCTGAGTTCGGTCAGTACCGCCCTAAGAGCGCATAGATGCTGGTCCCATGACTGGGTGAATATGACAATGTCGTCGATGTATGCCGCTGCGTATTCTGCGTGTGGTGCCAGAAGGCGCTCCATTAGTCGCTGAAAGGTGGCAGCAGCCCCGTGCAAGCCGAACAGTATCCTTATGAATTCATATAGGCCCCAAGGGGTTCCAAAGGCTGTCTTGGGGTGGTCATACGGCCGCACGAGGATCTGCCAATACCCCTTAGCCAGATCCAGGGTGGTTATGAATCGGGCGGCCCTGATACGCTCCACTAGTTCTGTCACTCATGGCATGGGGAAGGCATCGAACATGGCTACTTCATTTAACTTTTGATAGTCTATGCAGAGCTTTAGGGTCCCGTCTGGTTTTTGTATTGGTACCAAGGAACTTCGCCAAGGACTTTGGGATGGCGTAATGACACCAAGTGCCTGCATTTTTTCCACTTCTTTATGTACCTCCTCTGTTAAATGATGAGGAATCAGTCGCCACCGATCTCACACAATCATGCTTGGGGGTGTCTGGATAGCATGGTATGTATCCCTTACCTATCCGGGATCCTCTGAAAAGACCCCCTTAAATTCCTTGAGGAGGTTCCCCACTTCCTTACTCTGGGGCGTCGTTAGCTCGTCACTCACTTGGACAGCCGACAAGGGTTCTGTATCCCCCTGGTCTCAACAGAGTTCTCACAGCCCAGGGTCCTCGGCTGCCTCTTCTCTGAATGCTGCCCGTCCTTCAGGTTGTTGCCATTCTCGTAACAGATTGACATGGTAAATTTGTTTTGTTTTTTGGTGACCAGGGCGATATACTTCATAGTTGACTGGGCCAACTCGTTGTATGATTTCGAATGGCCCTTGCCATTGGGTTAACAACTTACTATGCGAGGTGGGTAATAGGACCAGCACCTTCTGCCCTGGTTGAAATTCCCGCTTCCTCGCATGTAAGTCATACTTTTCCTTTTGTTCTTGTTGAGCCTGTCTCAAATTGTCAGCCGCCAACTCTCGGGCACTCTGGACTCAGTGTTGAAAGGCTTGTTGGTATTTCATAGTTTCATAGTTTCTAGGGTTGGAAGGGACC